GCTCCACGCGGCTCCTGGAAGCGGCTGGCATGTCTGGCTCCTGGGCGCACGGTGGCCAGGCAGCTCTGCAGGCACCGCCCCTACCTGCAGGCACTGCCCCTGCAGCTCCCATTGGCCGTGATTCCCGGCCAATGGGAGCTGCAGAACTGGCGCTCAGGGCAGGGGCAGTGCACAGAGCTTCCCTGGTTGCCCCTGTGCCTAGGGTCCACAGGGACATGCCAGCTGCTTCCGGGAGCTGCGCGGACCCACAGTAGGTAGAGAGCCTGGCTTAGCCCTGCTGCACCACTGACTGGATTTTTAATGGCCCGATCAGCAGTGCTGACCGGAGCCACCAGGGTCCCTTTTCGACCGTGCGTTCTAGTCGAAAACTGGACGCCTGGCAACCCTACTACAGTGCAGTGCTACAGGGGTGCTGTGCCACTCTAGTACTTGTAGTGTGTAGATGTAACATAACTAACCACGAGTTTCTGATAACCAGGAGACCATATTCTATAGCACATTAGGTTCTTACTTTTGAATATTGTGTCTATAACTACAGTTTAAAGTCCAAAATCTTTTAAAACCATTGTACAACTGTTATTTCTTATTATAAAGGTCTTATGCCAATTCCTCCATGTGTGCTATAGAAAGCTATTTCAATCCCTATTATGCTTCCCTTGATAAGTATCTGAAAATCAGTTGTGCGTATTAATTGCTCTTAATTGAAGGTTGGACTCAAAGACAAATTAGTCTAACATTTTGAATACAATGAGATCTTTCCATTTAAAAAATCTGAATGTGATACATGGGCTCATTTAGTTCATCTTTGATAATTAGTTCTAAACATTTTTTTTTTTTTGCCTGGCAGTCGGGAAAATAGCAGTGTAATAAGGGTTAAAGCAAATGGGTAGTTAGATTTTTAAAGAGGGGAAAAAAGGAAAGTGGAGTAATGCTTCTAAATTTACCACCATTAAGTGATTCTCCTAAATGACTCATTCTGCAATGACTTGATATATATGATTGAATGACACTAATAGAGATATAGTCTTACTGATCTTATATCTGAAAAAATAAACATTATACTGTACCATGTTTCAAAATAAATGGAAAGACATAAGATTGGAAAGGTAAACCTGTTATGTTGCATGTGGAAATGTGTGGGTTTTCCCCCATGTAACCAGCAGGGGTCACTAGAATACTTTTCTCATCACTGTTCCTGCTCTTTAAGTGTAAATATCTAATATTTGTTTTTACAGTTGCACAGTAGAGACAAATGATTTCACTTCAGCAGGAGAAAACACATTGTATTTAATAGACAGCTTCACTATTTCCCCCGTATTGTTAATGCTGTTTTCTATTGGTTCCTGTGGGTAATGAAGTTCATTGTTTAAAAACTGTTTTTTATTCTAAAGATATTTATTATGTATGAATTTAGTACTGGTGAAAGATGACAGATTGACAGCCCTGGAGACTACAATCCTCTGATTATCCTGAGCCAGGTACATAGAATTGGCAGCATCAATGGATGCTTCCCCATACAGTATAACTCAACTGTGTTCTAGACTAGAGGGACCACCTCTAGGGACTGAGAGAAAGGAGTTCTCCATTGTCAATCCTTATGCATCAAGGGGTGCAATTTGTGTCTTATGATTTGGACACCTGTCCACTAGTAACTGGACTGACACTACCATCTTATTGCATCTAGGCTACTGAACCTCTGTTGGATATGACACAAGTTAAATTGGAAGGAAAACACCAGTGTAGTAGAGTAGTAATCAATCTAATACAGTGGTTCCCAAACTTTAACAACCGTGAACCCCTTTCACTAAAATGTCAAGTCTCGTGAACCCCCTCCTAAAAATGAATATTTCCAGGGATTTTCTCCCTTACCTCAGCATAAATTATAAAAGCAGTGATCTTGGAAATATAAAATTTGTTTTTATGACATGCTTATTTATTATTATTTATCTTTACAGTATTTTTATTACATTATGAAAACAACAACACTCTTCCAAGATCTCACTTTTGTAGCTTGTATCACTTTTGATTAAGCCTGTTCTAAGACAAGGCTCCTATCAGAGGTGCCAGTAGAAAAAAGGGGTGCGGGGGTGAAGCCCCCATGCAGGCTGGGGCCTGGGGGAGCACTGCTGGAAAAGTAGGGGGGATCTGCGGGGGTTGCCAGAAAAAAGGGGAGGGACCTGGGGGGGGGAGCGTGCTGATGCCGGGGCGGCACGTGACCCTCGTCGCCCCCCCCCCGTACTGGTGCCTCTGGCTCCTATGTTTCATCAAGGAGTATCAGATGTGAAATAGCATGAAGATATTTAGGAAGCCAACTAAGTTCCTCCTACACAAGCATTCAGGTCTTGAGCAGTCCAGGCAAACAATGCATGTTACAACAAAGCTTAAACTTGTTCTTCATAATAATTTAAAAACATCACTAGTAGCCTATTTAATTTTAAAAACAGCAAAAAATATCCACCTCTCTTTCTATTTTGTATAAGGAGTCTTGAAGTTTAAATCTCCTCAGTGTGATAGATATGCTTGCTTTGATCTGCTTAGCTCTTGGAAGTCCCCAAGTCCCCATGCTGCCCAGGATGGACAGCTCTGTCCGCCATTAGGGAATTTTTTCCCAAGAACGCCCTATCACCCCAGTTTGGGAACCACTGCTCTAAAATAAGGAGCTAACCACTGAAAACAAGGGTTTTCAAAGTGTCTGAATAATTATAATGAATATAACTATTCACACAGAGTAGCCATCGAAACAATTTTATGATACCAAGTACCAGCTTTTCCATTAGAAAGCATTGGGAATCAGAATTTTCAGCAAAGCTCTCTGCTTTCCAATTCTTTCCAGTCGGAAAGCTGATCTTTTGAGTTGTACTTGGCATCAAATTGGGCACCTGCTAGGATGTATCATGAATTTGGCAGCCCCCGCTGAGAGGTATCACACTCCCATTCATTGAACTGAGTTACTGAACCAGTGACAATGATTTCTAAAGGCTATATTGCAACATACTTCTAAAAATAGTTATCATGTCAAATCCTCTGCCACTGGCTGCTGTTATGGTGGGGCCCACAGGCAGAAAAAGTTAGCGTTACCAGTTTCCCAGAGAATCCCTAAGCATCTTGGAAGGCTTTGGGTCCCCAGGGTAAGAGGCACATTGAGAGGGTGGGGACGCTGCTGGAGCGCTGTTGTGCTTTGGCAATCCTGTACTGCTGGAGCTATTGCTGTAAGGTAAAATTTAAACACAAAACTGCTCTAAGGCTTCTGTAAGTGGCCTCAGGGCCTGGAGTAGGCCACCGACCGGCTGCAGTCTAATGAGAGGAAGCATAAAGATGTCACTTGCCCCCTCAACTGTGCTGGGCACAGAATTGGCACAGCTAAGGAACGAGTCCGTTTTATTTAGTAAATACCTAGCTAGCTGTCTAAGGTAGTATAAGTTATAACAAACCACATGAAATAACCATCTAACAGAACTAAACCACTATGAATTAGAGTTGAAAGGCTTAGTAGCCCTCCATGAGCCATCCAGTTCCCAATTTCTGTTGCAATTTAATGTGTCATAATGTAGATTTCTTTTTTTTAAAATGAAATAATGAAGTGCTAAGTTCCCTGTATATATTTGAGTGGACAAAGCAATTGGCCATCTTTTCTCCCCTTAGAGTTCCCACAATGGAACCTCAGGGAAGTATTTATTTAATCGAGGCTTGAATATAGCTGCTGTTTTCTTACTGCAAAGGTCATCCAAACCATATAGCAGTTTTTTCTTTCTTTTTTCCCCTATCCCTTTTCAAGTAGTCACAATACAAGAAATAATCAAGACAAAGATCTGCACATGTCACATACACAAGCAGAAATCGTAGGTGGCAAAGTAATTTTTCTGAGGTTTAAGCACTTCAGAGAGCAAGTGGAAATTAAAATTAGAGATATAATAGTGTCACTTCATTTACTGTGCTGCAGAAAGTGTTAAAGCCTGTGTTTTGCATTTTAATTAAAAATACAGTACCTACAAACCTGATACATAATTGTACTTTTTCTCCAGTGCTGTGTAAAGAAAAGCATATTTTATCTGCTTTAAGGCCAAAACATTCTGGATCCTCTCCAGGTTTCCCACTGTAATTTCATTTAATGGCAGGTATCCAGTCATTATTCATCTGTCAGAACAATCCAGGCTCATAGGGCTGTTATCATGCAATAGCAGCCATGTATGTGCTTAAAAGGAGAGGAAAACCATAATATAACTTGATCCAATCAGTAGATCTGTATAGTTCATGCAGATCCACTTCTAAAACACATACATATTTTCATTTCACAAAAGATGTATATTTCTAAAAGGTCTTGCTTGTTCAGGATTTTATAACAGTCTGAGAGAAAACAAACTGACAAACTTGCCATCTGAATATTTTTTATTTCTTGAAGTTTTATTTGTATATCTGTAATGATGAGTGGAGTCCATCCCAGAGGACAGTTTCATTTTTAACTCTTTTGCTATAAATTCAAAATAACACTTGCCCCTCTCTCTCTGTGTGTGTGTGTGTGTGTATCTATCTCACTTGCTTGTGTATATAAAGACATACAAAATTGTCTTATATATAGTCTTAAGACAATGCTGCTTGTTACCAGTATTATACTAAGAGATACTTACATCACCATTTTCATCAATGGTTAGCAGTTACTGCCAAAGGCTGGACATAAGATTTCAGGGTTGCCTTTTTGACTCTGCTCCTGACTGATTGTGACCTAAGGCAAGTTACTTCATTGTTCTGTCTATCTGAATACTTACCGCAAATATGGGTAATTAATGACATTAACACTTTACAAAAGAGCAATGATTTTTATTCAGAAGTCTCAAAGTACAATATTATTTACTGCATTTTTAACCATCCTTACAATACTGGAAAACTGGTAGCCAGATGCATGCTTCAAAGGACATTTCAGTATGTCTCCATTTTAACAAGGGTTAAGTAATTCTGAAAGGAAGTTATTCTACAGTATTTTAAAATCATGTCTTGTTTTGCAGGTGAAACTGTAAATGCAGGAGATGCATTATGTGAAATCGAAACAGACAAAGCAGTGGTAACCATGGAGTCAAGTGATGATGGCATATTGGCTAAAATAATGGTAGGATTAACTTTCTTTAGCGGGGTTGAGGTCGTTTGTGATGGGTTGAGGTCATTTCTCATGTTAGTTCAAAAATTACTTTAATATGGACTTCAGTCTGTATTTCCTGTCACCTCATTTTCAGAATAAGACACCAACACGCTCTTATGGAATAGCTTTTATATTTGTAAATGTACAAGTGCTGAACTATTAAAGTTATAGATAAGTGTAATTTTCATCTATGAGGATAACCTATGGTTTTATACATTTTGTTGCCTTATGACTCGCTTCCATAAAATATTTAAATTTTATTCTTGGTGTTAGTTAATTAGAATTTAGGAATAACACCTAATTAATTTTTCACTATCTACCTGCTGAAGCATCTGGGGGGGGGGCGGTGTCACTATTGGAGACAAGATATTCAACTAGATGGCCCATGGGTCTGATCCAGCATAGCAATTCCTATATTCCTAAAATCTATTTTAAAAATAGAAAATCTGCACGAGTTTAGAAAAAATAAGGGAATATTGGAATAGCCAAAGGTAGGAAATAATTGGAATTAATGTAGAGTACCTACCATCACCCTGATTGCTCTGCCTGTTTGGAGGGGGAGGGATGGGGGAAAGGATATCCTGTGTGTGTATGGGGAGGGGAGGGGAGCGGTCTTTTCAGTTCCTTGTTGTGCAGTCTGATTGTAAGCAACAATAGGGCTTTGAGCAGGTCTGGGAGCCTGCCCATGCAGATCAGTTTGCCAGATGGATTTTAAACAATTTGGGGAAGAAACAGCATCCTCTTACAAGTCCATACAGCATCTAGGACAATGGGGTCCAGATTCTCACTAGGGCCTGTAAATGCTGCCAAAATGTAAAGCATTAATAATAGTAATCACATTCTCCATTTTACTTAATTACAGGTTTTATATAATGGCGATCACGTTCTGGTTTTGCACTTTAGAAGTTCAACTCTTCCCTTTTGTTATAAGTTTTTAGGACAACGATCCTAATTACATCATCATCTTTGATATTTATTAATTTTCTCTCTCCTCGTCCTCACTTAGCTCTGTAGTGTTAAACTCTAGATTATGAACTTTTTGGGCCAATGACCACATTTGTACAGAATGGGGTCCTGATCATGACTGGGTCCTTCTGTAATATAAACAATTAATAAATAAATCTGATGTCACATGGTTACTAAGAACACATCATTGGTATTCAACATGTAGATAACTGATTCTCATGGTAAGCTTCTGGATTCACAATGCAGTTGAGAGTCCTGTATTTGTTATGTAAGGTGCTGAAGAAATCGCCAAATGCTATTTCACCTTCTGAGTTGTTTTTGGGATGACTGTGAGTAAAACTTCAGTTTTGACACCTTTATTCTGACTTAGGTGTTTTGGAATACAGAAGAAGCTTTGATTGTCTGGAGATGGAATGTGTCAATGTTTCATGTGGCTGAGTATAGTCAGCTATTCCAAGACCACTAATTTAGGCTGAACTCCACTCTAATTCTTCAAACTCATCTTTCCTATCACAAGGCTTGATCTAGTGAGGACAATGGAAGGGTCAATGACTTCAGAGGGCACTGAAATGGGCCCTCAATTCCTAGCCTCTGTTTCTGATGCATTCATTTTGGTTTTTTCTAAAGGTGGGCATGCACTGCCAAGTCTGTGTTTTGGAACAAGGACTAGAAAGGTGGATAGAATGTATGTAACAGCATGAGAAGAGGGACAGTGAAGGGGAAACAGCATTTTATTGGAGAGATTAATCTTCTAGTGGCTTCACCAAAAGGATGGTGAATTTGCCAATGGTCTAAACAGTTCTTAAAGCCAGTCATCTAAGACTTCATCTCTTTTAATTCATTCGGTGGGTTTTTTGGGGTTTTTTTTTTGGTCACAGGAATGTTTGAGGTGAGCTGGGCACGTGACTTGGGGTGGTCTTTCTTCACACTTATTCACGTCACCTCTTGAGCCAGATTTGCCATACAGAAGCCTGATTCTATACTGAATGCTCCTATTTGATCTACTACTGTTTGTATTATATTAAGCAGTAATAAATATTTTGCATGTACTTATTTCTTTTTAACATAAAGAATCCCAAAGTGCTTAACAGTTATAGTAGTACCACAGAACTGCATCCACATCTGGGCTGGAGGGTGGTAACCAAGTGAACAACCAGGGGTGCCCTGCACAGCCTGAAACTTGTCTAAGGACAATGGAGCACTGAGCTGTTCCAGGCCAGGATTTCACTCATAATGCATAGACCACTCAGCCATACCATCCTGACCTCAATGCAAATTCTCACTGGCACACAGTAGTAAGAGGTATGCACAAACAGGTCAATTTCTTCACCAAAAAAATGTAGAATTAAGATTAAATAACCAAGGTGTGTTTCCAACAATTAGAGACTCATTTATACACTGTTTTCTTAACAAAAATAATTGTGATTGAGTACATACTTTAATAATGTATTTAGGGTTCTTATTTGTGTATTAAAATATTAATAATGGTGTAGCTAAATGTATAGGTTTTCAGTCAGCAACCTAGCCTATATTTCAAAACACAGCAACCAGCCCAGAGTCCTACCAAACTCAGTGCCACATTCCAGCACAGAAAGTGCTCCTCTTCCCCCCCTCCCCCGAAGTTTGATCAATAGTAATAAGACAGAATTGCCCGAGAATACTCTCTGGCTGACTGACTACCTTAGTCTCTCAGCTACCTTCATTTTATGAGCCACTGTAAGCTGGGCTCCACCTATAATGGGTGACTCCACTGCTCTCACTGAGCTGCCTCTAATCACTGTCCTATTCAGTCAGATCAAACCAAACTTTGTGTGGCTAGTGTAGCATTCGTACATGTTTAATACCGTTCTCTATAGAAACATTTTTAAAACGAAGGATTGAAAATGCTGTAGGGGAAGTATTGGAAAAAATATTTTCTTTTTCAGTCGCTGTTGGGAGGCGTGAGAAAAATGCCACCCAACTGCATCAATGGTGGGGAAACTTAATGAGGCCAGTGGCGAAAAGGGGACAGACCCAGTAGCAAGGGAGGGAGACACTTGCTCAGGGACAATAGGTAGCTTCTCCCCCCTGGGAGTCTCTGGCCAGCTGAGGGAGCGGGGTGCTGATTGGCCAGCATTCCCCAGCCTCTTTGGGCTCCAATCCAGCAACCCACCTTATCCACCCAAAGTATGAATGGGAAGCCAGCTGCAGGTCTAGCCAATTGCCTATTTAGGGGATAGGAAGGAATTTTTTCTCCCATAGGCCAGTTGGCAGAGGACCAGGGAGGAGTTTGCCTTCCTCGCAGCACCTTCAAATCACGGTTGGTTAAGTAGGAATCTGCTTAGTACCTAACTGAGCTACTGGGGTGGAGTTATTTGTTACAACTTGTAGCTGGTTTCCAGTGTAGTTAAGAGAATAAAATGAATGGTTCCCAGAGGTAAGAGACCTGGGATTTTGGCGTTGGGCCTTGGGCTCATGTGATAGGCTGAGACCTTGTGGCCGTCAAGGGCCAAGGTCAGACCTTGTGGCCCTTGCGTGCTGAGGTCCGTACCCTGCTGACCCTCTGTCCCCCTCACAACAATAGGGATAGCGGGCTAGGACTCAGAGAGAGCTGAGTACTGGGGGGTAGGCTGACAAGAGCCTACCTTGCATTATGGGTTATATGGTAAGAAGCCCTGTAACTCCCACACTGGAACCAGTTAATACCTGGTATATGAGAGTATGGACAATGGGTGGGTCGCGCCCCTCTCCTGTGTTAAAATTTAATAAAAGTTGCAGACAGCTACTTAATTCCATGCATCTGTCTGTCCTCATTCTGCCACTGTCTGCATTGAGTGGCAGAGACTAAGAAATAAAATATAACTGAGAGAAATGGGATAAACTGAGGGGGGAGACTTAGGCTGAATACTTAGGTAATCCTTTCAGAGAGTGAGGACTCTTACACACTAGCAATTGTCTGCTGTGGCTTAATTGTTTTGGACTAATGAAAAACTAGACTGGATAAAACACTGTTTAATGTAGGGAATACTTTTGCATTGTCACTGAGATTGGTTGGATGATCTAGAAAGATAGGTGTTTTATATCTTTAAATTTTATAATCACCTAAGTTATCTCTCTGGGAACAGGAAGTTCTTTTACTAGGTACAGATGTGTTTGTTAGTGGTTGTGTGTTTTTTACATGTTCACCACATAATTATAACGATGACATAATAGATGTATTTATTTTTCTTATTGCCAAAGGGGTGTTGTAGGCTGGTGCCAAACTGAATAGCTGCAAATTGTTTTAATATATAAAATCCATAGGATAAGTACTGTATGTCTTACCATTCTCAGTTTTTTCTAACAATAAACAAGAGCTGGGAGGAGGATGGTTGGAGACTGAACAAGCACCAATAGGCAGAAGCTATTGCAAACCTGCATGTTTAAAATAAATACATAAAGCCTTCTGACAGCATATCTTATTCTAAGGCAGTATTTAAAACAGCCATTATAAATGGTACCCGTATTGCACATAAAATTATCATTAAAGTAGAAGTATTGTATGCACGTCCCTTATCTTTATTCATGTCACATCAGTGATGTTCAGCTTCCAGTTTAGAGTCACTGATAATTTGTGGTCATAGATGGGTGAACAGATTTCAAAGCTGACGTGTGGAAGAGAAGTGTTTTGAAGTCAGATCTAAGCATTTGTATTTACTGCTCTCTTCCCTTCCGCCTCCTCCATATTATCTTATTTCAGAATTTCACAGAGTTAAATGGAACCAGAGTTCATATTTATCTGGAAAGTGAAAGGAATGTATTGCAGCTCACTTGAGACTTTTTTAAACTTCTTTGAGGTTTTTAAACAGTGAACTGTGATGAGAATGAATCTGTTAACTCACACCCATCTACTATAGTAGGTAGATAAGCTGTTCTCCATGCTCCTCTTTGGTTGTCTTGAGCTCATTTGATTTCTCTCTTTCCCCCTGTCTCCAAGGGATTGGAAAGCACTTCGCTTAGTTGTAACGCTGCATGAAATATTGATG